TTTTTTCCTCCTCTGTTAAGTACAGCTATAGAGACACAGAGTATGTAGATAGTTAATTGTAACCAGAGGTGGAATTTTATTAAACATTATAGTGAAGGGAAAGGAGAGAATAACATGATATAGGCAAGTCTGTTTTTTTTAGTTTCCAAACTAGAGTTCTTATAATCATTTCTGTCATTCCTTCCTCATCTAAATGCATATACAAAACAAAGTGATCTTTATGATACCAGTTTTTCAAAATTTCAACAGCTTCCTTTGTCTAAGTATATGATCACATTTTTGGTATTCTTTGTTATTATCTTTCCTGAAGTATAATTTACATAATATGGTATTCACCAATTATAAGTGCAAAATTTGGTGAGTTTTAACAAGTGTTAACAGTCGTGAAACCAACAGTACAATCAAAAATATAAAGCGTTTTGATCACCCCCAAACATTTCCTCATGACCCTTTGGAGATGTCACTTTCCCTTAATATATTGCTGGATTCTATTTGCTACTATTGGATCAAATATATTCGTATCTGTGTTAATGGAGAATATTATCTGTTTTTTTTTTTTTGTGATGTCTTTTGTTTTGATATCAGAATAATGCTGGTCTCGTAAAGTGTTGCAATGTATTACCTCTTCTGTTTTCCAGAAGAATTTGTGTAGAATTGATTTTATTTCATCGTTAAATATTTTGTAGAATTTGCCAGTGAATGCAACCAGGGCTGGAGTTTTTTTGTTGGAATTTTTTTAACCTATGAATCCAATTTGTTTAATAGATTTAATTTTATTCAGGTAATCTATTTCTTTTGGAGTGACCATTGTTAGATTGTGTTACTCAAAGAATTGTTCCTTTTCATCTAAGCTGTTGAATTTATGTACATAATTTGTAGTATTCTTTTTGCCATTTAACGTTGGTGGGAGCTGTAGTGTTATCCTTACTTTCTCAAGTTTTTGTTTGTTAGTTTGACTAGAGGTTTATCAGTTGTATTGATAGTTTCAATCCAAATGTCCAGCTTTTGGTTTCATTGGAGTTTTTTTTTTATTTTCATTGATTGCTACTCTTTATCTTTTTTATTTCGCCTTGCTTTGGGTTTAATTTTAATTTGCTCTTCTTTTCCTAGTTTTTTTAAAAGATCTTTCTTCTTGTCTTTTTTCTTTTTCTTTTCTTTGAAACAGGATCTTGCTCTGTTGCCTAGGCTGGAGTGCAGTAGTGAGATCACATAGCTCACTGCAACCTCAAACTCCTGGACTCAAGCAGTCCTCCTGACTAGCTAGGACTGTAGGCGTGCACCACCACCACCAGCTAATATTTTAGTTTTTTGTAGAGATGAAGGTCTCACTATGTTCCCCAGGCTGGTCTCAAACTCCTGGCCTCAAGTGGTCCTCCCACCTTGTTCTCTCAAAGCACTGGGATTACAGGCATGAGCCACACTGCACGCAGTCTCTTCTTTTCTAATACATGCATTTAATGTTAAATTTCCCTGTAAACATTGCTTAAAGCTGCATTCCACATATTTTCATTCAATTCAAATATATTATTTCCCCTGTTATTTCTTCTTTGATTCATGAGTTATTTAGAAATGTGTTGTTTGATTTCCACATCTTTGGGATTTTCAGATAATTTCCTGTTTTTGGTTAATTAATACATTAATTTTTAGTTTCTTTGTGGTCAGACCACATACCTTGTATGATTTCAGTTCTTTTAAATTTATTGCCCAAAATATAGTCTTATCTGGGTGAATGTTTTATGTGTACTTGAAAAGAGTGTGTTCTCTCCTGTTTAAATTTCAAGTTTCCCTCTCATATTTCCCTTCAGCCTGAAAAACTTCCTTTAGCATTTCTCTTAGAGCAGATCTGCTGACAGTGAGTTTATATGTCACCTAATTTTGAATTGTATATTGAATGTTTTAAATATGTTGTATACACTCTGGGATCTTGTTATAATCCTCTGAAGAATGTGATTTTTAAAAAACTATAGGCAGTCAACCAGTTAGCTTCAGACTACAAGCTCTGTTTCACCATTTTCCAAGTTTTGACTCTATTCTGCAGTCTCCTTGCCTTTGTTTACTTTTCAGAGTTTTTAAGTGGTTGCTTTTGTATTTTGTTCAGAGTTTTTAGTTGTAATCAGTGGGAGAGAGAGGCCATGGTGGTCTTTATGCTGTGTGAAATCACAAGTCTTTGTCTGTGTTTTGTTATTCCACAATTTAGATACAATCTTTCTTTATACCACATCAGTATTTCGATTTACCCACATATCTATAGAAAAATTTTAATGCCATAATCCTTTTTGTATCTTAAACCTTCCTTTTAGGATATTTCTACTTTTTGAAGGAAATCCTTTAGAAGTTCTTTTACTGATCATCTGTTAGTTGTAAACTCTGTTCTTCATTTTGCCCATGAAAGTTAGTTATATTGACCATTTGAATCTGGTTTGACAGTTGTTTTTATGATAATATTCTGCTGTTTTCGTCTGACTTCATTTATTTCTTCTGAGAAGGTCCAGTTCTGTTTTAGGTAATACATCTTTTTTCTTTGAAAACGTTTAAGATCTTCATTTTGATTTTGGTGTTCTCTTTATTTGTCATCCTTATAATTCATTGGTCTTCTTGAATCTTGGCAATGGTGTCTTCTGTAAATATTCTCAGCCATTATTTCATGAAATAGTTCCTTTCCATTTCTCCCTATTATATCCTCCTGGAACTCTGATTAGATTTTGGTTGAACATTCTCACTCTATCCTTCATATCTCTTTGCTTCTCTTTCATATTTTTAATCTTTTTATTTTCTCATGTTATATTCTCAGTATGAAGAGACAAAGAGGCAGATTGGGTTCAAGACAGGAAGTTAGGCCGGATGCGGTGGCTCATGCCTGTAATCCTAGCACTCTGGGAGGCCTAGGCGGGTGGATCGCTCAAGGTCAGGAGTTCGAGACCAGCCTGAGCAAGAGCGAGACCCCGTCTCTACGAAAATAGAAAGAAATGATCTGGACAACTAAAAATATATATATAACAATTAGCCGGGCATGGTGGCACATGCCTGTAGTCCCAGCTACTCTGGAGGCTGAGGCAGAAGGATCTCTTGAGCCCAGGAATTTGAGGTTGCTGTGAGCCAGGCTGACAACAGAGCACTCTAGCCCAGGCAACAGAGCAAGACTCTGTCTCAAAAAAAATAAAATAAAATAAGACAGGAAATTAAGGCAAAACTCAGTCTTAAGGTCTTGACCACTGTTTAGAGAAGGTTAAAGATATGTTTTGTTAAAGAGTATTGCCTAGTTAACTAATTCTTTCATCTCTTTTGACATTTTACTGTAATCTGCATGTGTTCCAATTGACAGTTTTTTAGAAAATTTCTACCAAACCCTGGTTCTGTCCAAGCTACCATAGGCATCCAGGAGGTCCAGTTTGGCAGGTAAAATGTAGTAGTGGAATTATCTGGGCAGGTGCAGCATAACAGGTAGTGTTTAAGGTACTGGAGCTCTATAGTTAGACACTCTTTGATTCAAATCTCTGTTCTAAAATTTATTAAATATATGACCTTCAATATAGTTTCTTTTTTTTTTTTTTTTTGTATTTTTTTTTTCAGGATATTATGGGGGTACAGATGTTTAGGTTCAATATAGTTTCTAATCTTGCTGCACTTCATTTTTCTTAGCATTGGCTATTAATATTATAATTATTCTTCCTAAGTCAGTTGTAGTATTATACTTCTAGATAGATTCATTTAGCTGTGGAGGTAATTTTATAATGTTACATTTTAGGAGGTGAGCTTAGGTAAGACTGCAGGATTTTGAGCCCCCGCTGCCGTAATTTTTTGCTTTGTGTTTTGGAGTCAAATTACTTAATCTCTCTCTCTCTCCTTAGTTTCCTCATCTATTAAATTGGGGTAGTAAATGAGGATTAAATTAAATAATACAAGGGCTTACTAATTGATTATTGCTGCTTTTATTGCTGTTGTTCTTGCTATTATCAGTATAATTTTTATTGAAGCAGAACTTCATTCAGCAGCTGGAGAATGTAGCATCTGGGAGGAAGGAGGCTAGCTGGAAACAGGTGGGAATCAGGATCCCAGATAGGCAAGTCAAATTCAAGACTTTAAAGCAAAAGTTCAGACATATGAAATGGACCAACAAGGAAAACAGTTAGAGAAGGCTGAAGGTCAGTAGGTACAAAAGTTTTTAACCTCAGGCATGCTTATCCTGTGCATTAAGCCCATTTGTATGTTCCAGACCAATGAGGAAAACAGAGAAGGCTAATGGTCAGTAGGCATAAAGGTTTCTACCCACAGGCATAGTTTATTCCAGGATTATGACAGCCAGGCTTCCCTCAAATTATCTATGGAGAAAGGACTTGAAATAAAGTTATTGATACAGTTGGTTCTCAAAGGCATAGGGACTTGTCAGAGCCAAGGCTACTAGTCAGAATTTCTAAGTACCAGTGCTAGGGGCACTAAAATAAGCAGGGATTCAGGATCTTAATGGTAGTGAAAAGTCAAATTAGAGAATATTGAAACATTTGCTCATACTTAGTAATCATATAAACCAAGTGTCCTGCTTCTGGAAATTTATTGTGAGGAAATAAGAAAGGATATGCACAATGATATAATTATAAAGATTTCATCACAATGGTGTTTAAAATATAAAAATCGACTCAGTCTAAATGTCCAACAAAAGAGAATTGATCGAATAAACTTATAGTACATCTGTATAAACTGTGAAACTTTGAACCGATTAGAAATTATATAGAAATGTATTTCTTGACTTGAAAAGATATTTACTATAGTTAAGCTATCAATACTGGTTATAATATTAAGAGTATGATTACATTTTTGTAGGAAAATGCATATCTATTCCTATCTATATATGTGAAGAGGAAGGAGGTTTGGGAAAATATTTATTAAGTTTATAGTGATTTTCTTTGAAGAGAGAGATATAGGGCTTTTATTTTCTGATTTTTGTGCTGAACATTTATTGGTGTTGTAGTAAGAAAAAATTTTACTTCTTTTTTATTTTAAAGGCAAGCAGTAAAATAAATACGTTGACACTAGATTCATTGTAAAATAGCGTATCTTTATCTCTTTATCACTTTATCATAAGATTTCTCTTTGTTTAAAACCATGAGGCCATGCTTTTTCTAATTCATCTAATTTTGAGTCATGACTTTTTAAATTCCTTATGGTATTTATAAATCTAATTCTTTCCTGTTTATTTCTTTAGGTCATTGTGTCAATGAGTATTGCATTTGCTCAACAAACTGAACTATCTAGAATATCTGGGGGAAAAGAAAATACTACAGTACCAAAACAAGCACATCCTCTCTGTGAGCAGGAAGAACCACATTATTTTAACGAAATGAAATTATCACAGGGTCAAGTTGGTTTTCAGACTTTTGAGGTAACAGACATGAAATTTAAAGAAGAATTTAAGCCACTTAGTAAAGAGTTAGGAGAAGATGGAAAGGAAGTTTTGTTGTCGAATAATGATGATCTTGATGATATGCTAGAATCAAAGGACTATCAGCTGACTATTTCAGAAGAAATGTTCTCCAAAGATAAAACATTTATAGTCAGAGAATCTGTAAGTATGCCTCCTTGAAGAAAAGACATAAAAAATTGTGACTTCCTTCTCTATGAAATATTAGCAGTTAAGGCTGCTTAATAGATGAGGAAAGTATCAAATCTAGTCTTGACTTTATAATTCACATTATTATTTCATTTTATTAATTATAAGAAATATGGATAAGTGACTTAATATTAAATAAAACAAGTCTGGTTCATAGTATTCTTGTTTGTCTTAAAGACATTGTACATGGTAAATCTCATTGTAAGTTATACCTGCATTAATTCTGTTTCACCCAATTTAAGATTAATTATACTACAGTTTGGCAATATCTGTGAAGAAATGATTCGCTTAATTAAACATAACATTACAGGGAAATAACTACCTATTTAAGAAGACAGTTTAAAGCAATTTACTATCTATATACTAGTTTTCTTTTTCTTATTCATTAATGAAAGATCTCTTCTGTGTCTATACCTCAACTGTTTGCTGCCTTAACAGAAAGTATAATAAATCCTATTTGTTTTAACATTATCTAAATTAAAAATTTTATTAATGTTCAGGATAGGTTATGTCTTATTCAGAGGAATATTCAAATAAAACTGTTAACTCTTCATGGAATGCAAAACTGTGAGATGTTCATGAAAACCTCTTTAATTTACTGGGGGCAGTTGTTCATGGCAGAATGATTTGTTTAAGTAGTATCTCTTCAGGAATTCGTAGAACTGGTTAAGGAGTTGATTTCTTCTAAGTATGAGAAACTGAAATATAAAACTTTTATTTCCAGATAAAATGTATTGAAAATTATTTTTTATCAAGCAGTTTTCTGTAGCACTGTGATAACCACTGCATAAAATAAATAGGTAAAATTTCTTGTTTCATAAATTTAATTTTAAAATATAAATACTCCATTTATATTATTTTCCCATCATAAAATGTCAGGAGGAGTAATGGGAGTTATAGCTTCATTAAGAGTAGAAGGAATCTTTTTTTTTTTTTTTGAGACAGAGTCTCACTATGTTGCCCAGACTAGAGTGCCATGGCGTCATCCTAGCTCACAGCAACCTCAAACTCCTGGGCTCAAGCGATCCTCCTGCCTCAGCCTCCCGAGTAGCTGGGACTATAGGCATGCGCCACCATGCCCGGCTAATTTTTTCTATATATTTTTAGTTGTCCGATTAATTGCTTTCTATTTTTAGTAGAGACAGGGTCTCGCTCTTGCTCAGGCTGGTTTCGAACTCCTGAGCTCAAGAAATCCGCCCGCCTCGGCCTCCCAGAGAGCTAGGATTACAGGCGTGAGCCACCGCACCCGGCCAGAGTAGAAGGAATCTTGAGTATCTTTCTTTATTCTCCTCCCTTAGAATTAGATTATATCTAAATTAATCGATAAATAGCTACTTTACTTTTGGAAAATAACATATTATAATGATAATAAATTAACTTCATGTTGTATTGAAATTATAATTAAGAAAAATTCCTTTTAGGAAATTATGTTTTTGTTTAATAATAATAAAATATCAGGTGCTGTATGGGTTAGTAGTAGAATTGCTTTCGTATTTATTTAAAATATCCATGCTGGCAGATTTCCACAAAATGTGTTATGGTTGAATTTTTTTTTTCTTTTTACCATTAAAGATCCATGATGAGATTTCGGTATCAAGCATGGATGCTTCTAGACAGCTAATGTTAAATGAAGAGCAGTTGGAAGATATGAGGCAGGAACTTGTGCGACAATACCAAGAACATCAACAGGCAACAGAACTATTAAGGCAGGCACACATGCGACAGATGGAGAGACAGCGAGAAGACCAGGAACAGCTACAAGAAGAGATTAAAAGACTAAATAGACAGTTAGCCCAGGTATGGCACTTAAAGTCCCTTTTCTTCCCTATTTAAATAGCAATATACTTTATGTAGCCTTTAAAATTTTTCTTTTTTTGCCAAGATCTGGACAAACTACATATATTTAACATAAGGAACACACTCCACCAGCACAACAGCTTTAGATCTGGTTAAGAACACCTAACTCAACCTTGAAGTGTCTGTTGTCTTTCTATCATTTTATTTAACTTTTCAGGCACTGGAAAAGTGGCTACAAGGTAAATTTTTTTAAAAAATCATTTCATTGACCATACATAGCAAAAACTCTTTGAAAAATTTGGAACGACTTTGTGCTGAGGTGCTCCAGTATTCAGTTGCTATCGTTCAGTATTCCCGTATATATTTATAGTTTTGTGAGTCTACCAGTTAGCATCTCTAAGGTTTACCTTTATCTATCTATAATCCATCTTTTTAATCATGAATGAAAAGCTTATGAAGTTGTATGTTTCTGAAACTTTCTCCAGAGAAACATCTCTTCTTAATTTGAGAAATGCAAATTTATATAATGTTCTTATCCCTTTCTTGACTAAATTTAAATATTCCTTGGTATTTGGGAGCTGAATTCTTGTCAATTGCTGTATAAAATATACTCACAAAATCATTGCAGAAAAGCAAGAAATATTTATGTAGAAGTTTTTATGAAAACAAATTTAGTGAATTTAATTATGAAAACTAAAGCTAAAAGAAGATATGTGAAATAACTCTTAATATATATGTATCTCTCCAAGCATAAATTAATAGGAAAATTGGGAGTTGAGCATAAAACATATAATTTGGAAAAGCTAATTTTGCTTTTCTTCATTGCATTTTGTAAATTCAGACTTCTTAATTTTCAATGCAAAATTGACATTAAAATATTAATTAAACTGCAAAAATTTCTGACTAGGCTTTTTTCCTAAAAGTTTCAAATTTTGCATTGAACTTTGTATATGCTTTTAACCCCTTATAATGGAATATAAATCATAGGTAAAACCAGGGCCTGTTGGTTCCAGGGGGTTAAAAGAAATATGCTTAATATTTCTGCTCTTTTCTTCTATCGCAAACAATATTCTCTCATGACCTTTTTTCTTATTTAGAGATCTTCCATAGATAATGAAAACCTGGTTTCAGAGAGAGAGAGGGTGCTTTTAGAGGAGCTGGAAGCACTAAAGCAGCTGTCTTTAGCTGGAAGAGAGAAGCTGTGTTGTGAGCTGCGCAACAGCAGTACGCAAACACAGGTAGTATGGACTTTGGCCCACCTAGGAGCAATGGATCTACAATTCAGTAGGATTTGTTTGTCTTTGTTGGTGATGTGAGATGTATTTTTTGTAGGTGTTGAGCTTAACGTATTTGTGATTGCTTACATGTAAGGTAGGTAGAGTCAAAATACCTTATGTTCCATTTAAGGTAATTTGAATCTGGCATTGCTATAGCAGCAACTATTGTTTCACCAAGGAGCAAACTAACAAACTTTATTGTTGCACTATGGCATGCATTTAGTTTGAACCCATAAAAATTTTTTTCATCTGTGCGCTAGAATGTTTCATCTTTTTTTATAACGCTAATCTCCTGATAAGATACAGTTAAATATTATTTCAAGCAGTATCAGTTTTGTGCACAGAGGTTTCTATTTTACCTTGTACCAGTATAGAAGAATGACATGCTACTTCCGAGATGACAGGTTTTCTTTCTGTCTTCTCCTCTTTACCTTTATACAAACCTAAACAGAATGGAAATGAAAGTCAAGAGGAAGTTGAGGAACAGACGTTTAAAGAAAAGGAATTGGACAGAAAACCTGAAGATGTGCCTTCTGATATTCTGTCCAATGAAAGGTATACAAAATGTACAAACTGAATTAAAATGGTTGTTTCAATGTAGTAAACTTTATTTGTCCTCATTTTTATCTTATACATTTATACTTTGTCTTAAAAACCATCATACTATATATGTATTAAACATGTCCATATATGTTTAGTATATAAAGGATTATCAATTTTTGATCATTAAACAGACACATTTTAAAAAAATCTTTTGTATATATATAATTTTTGATTGGATATTAATGACATACTTTAAATGTTAAGGTATTTGGATAGTGAATCTTTCTTGATTAATTTTATTCTTGTATGTCATTTTGTATCTAAAAACACAGTTCTACTTGTGAACTTTATTCATCCTTTTTTCCTATTTTATTCCTTGACTGTATGGACATGTTTTCAATGTAAGCTATTTCCTGGTTTGTGCTGAGCAAAAAAGTTACTATAACTATAAACATTTCACATTTAGCTTCTTTCATGCATTATACTACATAACAGATGACAACTTTTAATCCATATCCTAGTTTTATAAAGGAATAAATTAATTACCTGATCTTAGCAAAGCTTTTCCTTACTTTGATTTTCAGAGATTAATATAAAAATGTAAAATGTTAAATGAGAGTAGTTATCCCACATTAATATTAAGGACTTTAAGCACAATATTTTAAAATTTATTTTATTCAAATGAAGATAATTTCTTTAATTTTAAGTTAAAACTAATATTTACTAACTTAATTTCCTCCTTTTCCAATTTCTGTGACTGTCAACCCTCTTTGTGTCCTCCTAACCTCCTTCCTCAGCTTGCATGGAGGAATTTGGCCCCTAAGATTTTGGCTTCCCCATTGGATCATCAGTATGGAACGCAGTCAGTATGGAACTCAAACAAGAAAGACAGTGTATGAAAATTAGAGTTACCATGGCAATATAAAATAAACAAAATGTTTATTTTATATTATTTATTTTTAATTGGTATCTTTTGAAAATTATGCAATATTTAATCTTTAGGAATTTTTATAGCGAGTGCTAACAAAATGAATATCTTTATTTCTTTTTACCATCATATTAATTTTAATCATTTTTCTTAAGTAGAAATATTTTTACATTACTCTTATCCTAGGGGATGGGGCTTGAACAGAACCTCAGAAAAAGTTAAGGAAATAAAACCTTTGACTTCCTACTAACTAAATTATTTAGAGTTTTATTTTTAGTATTCTTGATTATATAAGCAGAGAACTTGATCTAGGTACAAAAATAGAACTGTTTCACTTGACAAATACTAAAGGAAAACTTCTCCCTTTATATCTTGTCTTAAAATAGATGTGTCATGTGCTTGTGAAAACAGATATCCTTTAACCTGATTGTTAGTAATCTCCTACAATGTGAAGTTAACTGTCTTAAGGCAGAGGACCTTTACCATGAAAGTCTCTTATTTTGTCTACACATATAAAGTGTAAAGTTTGCTGATGTGTAGTACCTTTGTTGAACTAAGCTCTTAAGAGAGTTCTTTAGTTCTTTAGAAAATTAATTAAGTAATCCTCTGAATCACCATTTATACAAGTACCTTTCTTAACATGGAAAAATGTTCATGTTAAGCAAAAAAGAAAACATACAAAAGCTCATTTTTCAGAGTGATCCCATTTTTGTTTGTAAAAATATATATATTTATGAGAGAGACGGAGGAGGTGTAAAGTCTAGAAATGTAACCATTAAAATGTTAGTACTAACTGAGTGCTGAGTTTTTTTGGTGGATAGTTAGCAGTATTTTCTAATTTTTTAAAAATAAGAATATATTTTTAAAAAGACATACCATTAATTCTATTTAGTCAAAAATAGATTTCTTCTACTGGGTGAAATGAGTGTGGTGTAACTTGAGACATTTTTGTCTCTGGAGCAGATGTAATAAAAACAGCCTGTGATATTCTCTCTGGTGTCGGCAGATAGTGAAATTTCACTACAGACCTTTTTAAAAATTGGTCTCTGCCTATTACTTTTTGTAATTTAAGTATCTAGTTCATCACCATTAAGTTGTAGAAATACTACCACATATTTTTTTCTGATGAAGTTTTAAAATTATGTTTTAAAATTTGTTTTTATGTTTGATACATAAAAAGATATAATTGTACAAAATATATATGAATAACCATGAACAGTATAACCAACTCAATAACTTGCATATTACTTTGGTACTACCATACTTTTTAAAACTTAAATTTTTTAATCTCCTTAAAATTTTCTTTTAACCTGGCAACTAGCTTAAAAGTTTAGTTATTTGATTCCTTTCCAGTCAATTAAATGCTGCACATTTTTTAAAAATGATATAGTTAAACTGATTAGCCAAAATTTTTTCAGAAGTAAACAAATCATTTTATAATATAGTTATAAAATAAATCAAAAACAAGAAGTACTTTGTTGTAGGTAGTATTGCATATTATTTTAATAGAGACGATCATATATTTTTCTTCAAATTATTTTTCAGTGCATTTTTTGTAGGACATAAAGTGTATGCTTAAAAAGATTGAACATTTTAATAAATGTTTCTTTACAGATATGCCCTCCAGAAAGCTAATAACAGACTTCTGAAGATCCTGTTAGAAGTTGTAAAGACAACAGCAGCTGTTGAAGAAACAATTGGTCGCCATGTCCTTGGGATTCTAGATAGATCTAGTAAAGGCCAGTCATGTGCCAGCCTGATTTGGAGATCAGAAGCGGAGCCTTCTGTAAAGTCAAGTGTCCATGAGGAACACACAGGAGGTACTAGTTTTATATGCTGTTGAAGCAGTCATCATCTCCAACAAATCTTGCTGAGTTCAAGGTGCTTTGCTATGTGTTGAAAATATAAAAGGGAAAATATTCAAATATTTTCCAGCAACTGGACCTCCAAACACAAATACATTAGAGCCATTCTTCTCAAACTCTATTACTGTATAGCATTTGCAAGTGGGTGTCTTAGAGTTGTCATGTACACATTAGCGCATGCTCAAGCTACCTAGGGTTGCTACTGTGCCTCCGTAAACCAGGCTTCCAGCTTCTCCACCAATAAAAGAAAAATTCCACATCAGCATTCAGGACTCTTAACAATATCTGTGGGGTATGGATGACATCTTGAAACCACCTATTAGTTAAGGAAAGGTTAGAAATAAAGAGCTTTTAGGAATCTAGCACCAGTTTTACGTACCTGTTGAGATGGTTAGAAGAAAGTCTTTAATGAGAAACCAAAGGTTTGGTCTTTGGACTATCCTCTGCTAGGTCCTTTCTTTTGGAAAAGTGGTTTGAAATATGACAGAATGCATGTAGATCCACAGATTAGGTCTTGACATGACATAGGCATCTTCCTTATCTTTGTTTTCCTTCAGCTATGTCAGCTTAGCTCTTTTTTCAGTTTTTTACCATTGCATTACCGACCTCCATTTACTCTTGTTTTTTCAATTCCTTGTCCGGAGAGTGAATCAGGAAATCAAAAGGGGAGGAGAACAGTTTTGTGAGATGGAGAAAGATAGGGTCTGGACTCTTGGGTCAGAAGGTCAAGCCCACAGTTCACTACCATTCCACACCCAAGCACTTCTCCCCAGTTAGAGGAAGACCTTCTGAAATGCCAGTTTTTATAATTTTTGAAGAACATTCTGTTTTCTAAATTTTATGTATAGAAATGAGAAGAAATTACCCACTTACAGAAGGTTTACCTAATTCCAAATTGGCCAGTAGTGGGATTCTAAGTACAAAGAAAAGCTTGATTTGGAATTTTAAATGAAATTGGTTTAAAAACACCTTAGTTGAATTTGAAGATAATTTTAAAAACCGCTTTTAGTAAAATAAGAGCTGAAATAATACTGAATTTTAAACCTTCCTTTCAAATTAAGCACTCTGAATCAAGGGCTAATTTATTTCTACACATGGACCTTAATGTTTAGAGAAGAATTAGGTAATATTTTCTTGGTCTAATTGTAAAAGTGTTTGTCAAATTATGCTTTTTACTCAATAATTTTATAAACTAGTTTCACTTAACCATCTAGGGAGAGATTTTACTGTTCTACTGGTAAGACCCAGACTAGATTGACTCCTATATTCAAAAAACACTTTGAGGACTATTCTGTAGATTACAAAAATATTTTGTGCCTTTCTGTTAGCAGTTCTCTTAGATATTTCTCAAAATGATTGCTGAAGTATTTAGCAAACAACGTTTCTTAAAAGGCAATGAACTCGCTTCCAGAGCAGCGTCCCCATAGTTATAAAAAGTAATAAATTGGTAATTTAACTCAAGCGCGAAGGATTGTTTATGTTCATTTTCTGTGAGAAAGCAGACCTAAAAGGACATCTGATCCACTAGCTTACTTTCTCGCATAGTTATATCTAAATCTGCCAATATAGATGAAGTGTGTCTATATCTTATTTTAAGATATCCAGTAATAGAGTTTTTAATTATAAGCAGTTTTATCAGTTCAATTTTACAAAAATTTATTGAGCAGTTTCTCTACGTGCTCTGCTTTGTAGCAATTCACAGTCTAGTGAAGGAAGCACTGAGATTCCCATTGAAGGCAAGATAAAGTCATAGTACTTAATATCTTGCTTAAAACCACCTTATATATATTTCAATCAATTAAGCCCTTTAAAATTTTAATTATTTAAGTGTTGACTGATTCTGAAAGAATAATAATTAAGATACAAAAGGAAAAGTTAAATCCCCAGTTAAGAAATACAATATATAGAATATTGTAGCAGAGATAATTTTGCTGGTATCAGCATCATTAGTTACAATGTGCACTTTCCGTTTAATTAACTCAATCTTTTATGTCTTTATGTTTAGCAATGGTGTTTTAGTCTTACTAATAAAATTAGGATGGCCACCAGTATCTTCAGGGGACACTTATTAGACCTATCTTGCATCTTAAAGGATATGTTGAATTAATAGAATTTGTAATTTAAAACTTTGAATTTTTTCTTAGATCTTGAAGAAATTAATTGGCTTTAATGTTGTACTAACACTGTGCTCCATATGTAAGAATTTTTTCTGACATTCCTTTATATTTTTAGTGGAAGCATTATTATTAAAAACTAACATACCTTTTTGAAAGATTTATGTGTTATTTCACATGACAAAAATTGTCTTAATCTGATTATGAAGTGACTTGCTTTTCAGTTTTTATATATGACTTTTTCTTTTAACATTTGTAATCTATTTTCAGTCTTCAAGTCTGAACTTGTTTAGATTTTAAACATGTATGGACTTGTTAATACTCAAAAAAATAAATAACTGATTTACTAATGTTTGCTTCCTTATAAGAGTAAACTTGTTTATGAAATTGAAGGGAGATTTTGAGCCAATGTGAGATCACTCGAGCCTGAGTGAATATTAGATCAGTTCATAAAAATGAGTTCCCCAGGCTGTGTTAGAAGAAAATTTCCTTTAAGTCTGCTTTGTCATGGTTCACTGGTAGAATGCTCACCTTTTCTATAGGAAGTTGGGGACCAAATCTCGTTTTCTGCAGCTTCCTTTTGAAGTAGGGTGATCTTGTAGAAAGAATGGTGGCTTAGTAATCAGAAGGCTTTGGTTTTTTACTGGCTCACTGTAACCTTGGGCAAATCTCTTAAATCTCCCATGGCTTCAGTACAGTTTTCTCAACTTTCAGATACTAGGGTTAAACTACAGGTTTCCAGTTGGAGCTATAGGGATCTTCAGAGAGCCATTGGGGCAAGGAAGACTGTCTCGTATTGTCCATCCTGCTTTAATCTGAGGAATTTATTGTTATCTATCCGGAAAAGAACATGATAAAATCCATAAAGTAAATGACTAAAGGACTTGAATAACCATCATTTACTATGTTTAAGGCATAGATCTGAGTGATTAGCCAATCTGAATTGATTCTATTTACCAAACTGGCTATTCTAATATTATTATTGGCATGTTGTGAAATTACCCTGCTGATTTATGTTATCTTATGATTTTTTCCCCCTGAAGACTAGTTATTATAAATAAAATGTAAACTTGATGTTTCTCTCATTCCTTTATGTCATAAGAATTTTTAAAAATTCTTTTTCTTCATCAGAATATATTATTCAGATTATGTCAGAGTGTTTATATCTTCAAAATGTTATTAATAAAATACATTAAGCAAGTTGACTTCTTCACCTAGGTACTTGAATGTCTATTTGTTTTATTAGTCATTTCAAAAAACTGATATTCAGTGGCCTTTTATAAGCTGCTTTGTTTCACATGTTTTCTGTATTTTGTGCTTGAGATTTGCTCTCATGTACTTTATAATATCTTCAATCTTTTCTTCACCATTGATTCCTTCTCTATATCTAAAACATGCCGTTATCTTCATACTGCCTTAAAAAAAAAAAAGGTAATATTGATTGTTCTCAGCTTTGCTTCCTGCTCAAGGTAAACTTCAGCAAACTTGTTGAGAGAGTAGACTAACTCCTGCATTCGCCACCTTTGGTTTCTGTTCCTTTAGTACCAAAGCTGCTCTCACAGAGGACAACAGTGACCTCCCAATTGTCAAATCCATAGCGTCTTCTCAGTCCTCATCCTGTTTGTCTTTCTAGACAGAAGACAGATAACATTATCCCAGTTTCTTTTTTTTTTTGAAATGTTCTCTTGTCTCCTGGAACGTCTCTCTCCTGCGTCTCTCTCATATTCTTTTAACACAGGGTCTTTTGTTAGCTTATAATATACAGAGCCTCCAACTTTGTTTTCCTTTTCTCACTAAATATACTCCTAACACAAACGTATCCACTTCCAAGGTTTCAACTCTAACCTTGCTAGAAATGACCCCAAAGTCTCTGCAGACCCAAAATTCCAACAGTTAACTCATTTGCACATATTAATTCCCATTAATACTTCAGGCTAATCATTTTCATGCTTATTATATATACTTTCTTCTGATTTTTTAGCATTTCTCTTAATGATTCCTCTGTCATTTAAGAATCATCTAAGGTGGAAATCCAGAGTCATCTTATACTTTTCTTTCTACCTTGTCTTACACAGTCAGTCGTCTCCAACCTAGGCCTTTTCCCAACCCACCCCACAGCCCCACCATCTTTGTTCATGTCCTTGTCACCGCTCATCTGGATAATTGAAATAGCTTTATAACTAGTCTTTTCTTCTTCTCCAGCTTACCTGTCTGCATTGCTACAATTTGCTTCCTGATTCACATATTTGATATTTTCTTCCTGCCTAAAAAATGATTTACCCTTTCTATTTTTTATAGCATAAATACCAAGGTTCCTATAAAATTTAAGATCATTCACAGCTTGAGTCCAATCTACTTTCCAGCTACCTTTTTTTAGCTCTTCCTCCTATCTCATCTCTACTTCTCCGCATATTTTTGCCCCATAAAACTTAGCTTTCTCATCATGTCAGACTATTCCCTTGGCCCCAGATTTGTCATATTTTCTGCACCTGTGAGAAAGAAAATGTCACTAGAATGCATTTAATGTATCAGATAAAGATAAAGATGCTATATATAATGTAAGTATTTTTAGTTTTTTTAAGACCCAACTAAAAACTATCAATATGTCTTCTAGAATCTCTTTAAAAATATTTATTTTCTAGGTTACATTACTTTGATTTAGTGATTTTGCAGTATATCTTGTGCTATACCTTGAGCATCATTTTGAATTCCAACATCATTTTGAATTCATAAATATTTATAAAGTATTAATCTCTGTTATCAGAGCATTGCATTTTGAACACATGGAATAATAAAAATAAATACCATTGTAGTTGATGTGTTTTTTTAATTTGGGGAACAAAAATACAAAGTGAAAATAGTATTAGTTGTTACACCAAGAATTAGATAGATAAACCTATGGATGATAGCAGACTTTTAAAATCATGCCATGAAATGCAGTTTTGGACTCTTCAGCCATTGACTGGTAAAGAGGAGGTGCTTAGTGAATATTGTGCTGAATTCAGATCTTGTGTCTGAAGCTGCATCTGATATCATTACTGTATGTGGTTGAGAGAACTCCATGTGGTACCAGCTACTTTAGCAAGATGAGTTCTAATAAACAGCTGTTATTCTGGGTGTAAATACGTCAAACTGAATGTTAATTCCAAGTTTTTTGGACATTAAAGTTTCCTTTGGTTTGTTAACTCTGTACAGTTACTGATAACAGTTATGTACTGCATGTAATAATAGATCATTTCTCTTCAGGAAATTTTATTGTTGAGTTGTAGCATGCTATCATGCATGAATATTCCATGGCAGTGATGAATAATCTATATGCTTTTATTTTAATTTAGGGAAAACATTTCCAAAGCTTATCTTCTGCTTATATAAGCTTGTGTGCATAGTGTGGATAACAATGTCCAAGGTTAAATTAGAACTGCTCCTCAGTCTAATCTTTTCCCTACCTCTTACAAAAGTAGCAAGCTACAAAATGATCTTAGTTTCTTTTACTGTGTAGGTGGAGCAGGCGATACTACACAGTGTATTTTTGATGACTCAAAAATAAAACAGTCTGTTCCAGACAAATTCATGCACTTATTCTATGCTTCTATACACCTAGAACATCCTATCACACAGTGTTTTTCTTTTCTTGTAGTTATTTATATAACTATGTACTCCTTGTACTGTAAAGTCCTTGAGGATAGGAACCAGATCTTATCACCTATGTTTCCACATTACTTAGCAAACCCTACACGGTGGACATTTAGTATCTCTTGAAAGTTGTCATAAAAGTTTTTATCGAAGAAAAAATACTAAATAACCCAAATATTAATTCCTGCGAAGTCCTGTTAGCATAGCATTATTCTTTTCATTCTTACTTGGTTATTGAATAATACTACATTCTGTGTTTGTGTATTTCTTTTGTCACAATGCTGTTTTTAAAAGACTTTATAATTTTCATGATTTCAAGCTTAATTTCATATTATTTTGGAACTTTTAAAGTTATAGTTATTGTAATTAACTTATGGCTTTAAAATATTATTATTCTAGTAACAGATGAATCCATACCCTCTTATTCTGGAAGTGATATGCCAAGAAAGGACAGTAGCATGTGGTCAAAAGTAACTGAGGAAGGAACAGAGCTATCCCAACGGCTTGTGAGGAGTGGTTTTGCTGGAACTGAAATAGACCCTGAAAATGAAGAATTTATGCTGAACATTAGCTCTCGACTACAAGCAGCAGTTGAAAAACTCCTAGAAGCCATAAGTGAAACTAGTAGTCAGGTAATCTCCTTATATTGTTAATGTGTTCTGAGTTTGAAGTATAATATGCTACCCCAGTCTGTAAACTGAGCTGATTTAGACATTTTGAGTGGTCGCTTTTTAACACTTTAAAGCTTAAATGCATATGCGTTATAATTAACCCTTTTATTCTGTGTAAGTTGTTTAGTATAGATGATTCTATCCTGAATTTGTACATGATCCTGTATTTTGTTTTGTGTTTTCTTTATTTTAAGTATATTAGTATTTAATTCCTGTGATTTATACTTTCTTTCATACCATGAAAACAACTGTTAAATGCTTTTTTTCTTGACCTGTTTAAATACTTTTGACTGGATCTTGACCACTGTTAATACTGTTGCTACTACTTGATGCCATTGTGAATTATGGACAGTTTAGTTAATGCAATATAGTATCTGTCTTTTGATAAGCACCATGGAAAATGGTAAATAAAGCAGAAGTAATCAGTGGTTCCTACAGGTTACTTGTTCTTATAGGCTACTAGAGAGGGAAACTTCTCCATAATCTGTTACTACTGCCAACATCAAGTATTGAGATCCACCAGAAACATTAAGTATCCCAGGCCAGTAGCACAGCTCATAAGAACCATTTATTTGCTTATTTGACCTGGTAGTAAAGTACAGTAGGAGCCTGACCATGGTATTTTCCACATTATTCTCAATTTGTTAAATACTAAATAAGCACTATATTATTTAGCTTTTACTGTATTATTGTAGTTTAAATATCACTGAACAGATCACAAAAGCTTTGTGTAGAGCAGTCACCCTCAGCAGACACTTCTCAAAGTACAGCCCCTGAACCAGAAACATCAACATCACTTGGCAACATGTTCAAAATGTAAATTCTCAGGCCCAACTCCAGACCTACTGAATTTTAGGGCCCAGCAACTCGTTTTAATAAATTCTTTAGGTGATTCTGATACCACTAAAGTTTGAGAACCGTTTGATCTTGAGATTATTTAGTTTTTTTTTGTTTTTTGTTTTTTTTTGAGACAGAGTCTCGCTCTGTTGCCCAGGCTAGAGTGCCATGGCATCAGCCTAGCTCACAGCAACCTCAAACTCGTGGGCTCAAGCGATCCTCCTGCCTCAGCCTTCCAGGTAGCTGGGACTACAGGCATGCACCACCATGCCCGGCTAATTTTTTTTATATATATATTTTAGTTGTCCAGCTAATTTCTTTCTATTTTTAGTAGAGACAGGGTCTCGCTCTTGCTCAGGCTGGTCTTGAACTCCTAACCTTTAGTGATCCTCCTGCCTCGGCCTCCCAGAGTGCTAGGATTATAGGTGCCAGCCACCACGCCCCGCCAATCTTGAGATTATTAGTATAATGTTCACATTGAGTTGTTCTGGCTTAATTTTGAAGTGTTCTACTAATAGCTGTTATATAAAAGGTTGAACTAGTTATCGACATTAGGTATAAAAAGTTATAAAAATGAGATATTTCTTAAGTGAATTATATTTTTAAGACAATAGGAATAGGAGTTTTGTAAAACTTTCTTTTAAACTAATTGTAGTTCACTTATTAATCTTGCATGGATAGATGGTTAAAGCCATTGACCTCTTCAGAACATTCTCATTAATTAATAACTAAAATCATTTTGAACCTGAAGAATATTTTTAATAGTCACTTAGATTGACACAAAATAGTGTGTAATATCTGTGAAATAACTGATATTCCGGTTTCCTCTTAAATGTGTCATTATTTGATTCTTCTTTGTGATAGACTACTTCCTTTTAACCTTGGTTTTTGATTTTTTTTTCATTTATTATAACAAAATCTAAAACAGCAGGTAGGCACTGCTGAAATATCTTTGTGCTTTCAGTGAAAGAAATTCAGGAAAATAGCTCTGCACAGGATATTCTGAGATTAGAGAAGAAAGCAGCCTCTGACATTTTGGGGTAAGGCAGGGACCAAGTAAAGTTTACTGTAGGACTTCATGCTTGAGATGAATCAGTCATTCATTCAGCAATATTTTTGAGTACCTATTATATAACAGTTGCTATTCTAGGCATTAGAGGTACAGCAATGAACAAAGTGGACAGAATCCCTGCTCTTGGGAGCTTATAGTTTAATGGTGGAGACCAAAAATAAATATGTGTGATACATAGTATGTGAGATGGTGATAACGGTTGTGAAGAAAAATAAAATAGAGGGAAATAGAGCATGACAGGGGAAGGGAGCATTTATATAGAAAAATTAGGGAAGACCTCTTTGATAAAGTGATATTCAGGCATATTCTTTAAGGAAGTGTGGGAGACCACCATACAGGTAAATGGGGGAAGAATGTTCAGGTGAAGAAACAAGTATGAAGGCCGTGAGGTGGTAGTTTGCTTGTCGTGTGGCTGACAAAGAGGCCACGGCAGCTAGAGTGAGGAGAGTGGCGAGAACGTGGAAGAGGAGATCCGAGTGATACTGGGAACCAGATCACAGAGAGCTTTGGATTTAATTCTTGATAAGATGGGGAGTTGTTGGGGACAATTTTTAGCTTTTATTTTAAAATAATTTTAGACTTACAGAAAAGTTATAAAAATAGTACAGAAAGTTCCCCTCTACCCGTCACTTGGCTTCCCCAAATATTAACATCTGTCATAACCTGTCAAAACTAAGAAATTAAAACTGGTGCAATACTACTAATTAAACTACAAACCATTTGGTTTTCACTAGTTTTTCCACTAGTGTCCATTTTCTATTCCAGAAGGTATTCCAGAATCCCATATTGTATTTAGTTTTCATGTTGTCTTTGTCTTCTCTAGTCTCTGACAATTCCTTAGTCTGTCTATATCTTTTGTGACCTTGACGCTTGAAAAGTACTGGTCAGTTGTTTTGTAATATGTTCCTCAATCTGAATTAGTCGCATGTTTTCTCATGACACGTGAAGCTTATGCACTTTGGATAGAAATACCACAAAAGTGATGTTCCCTTCTCTATGTGTCCTGTCAGGAGGCACGTAATGTCAGTGTCTTATTACTGCTGATGTTAATCTTGATTGCTTGTGGTATCTGCTGGGTTTCTCAACTGTAATATTACCATTTTTCTCTTTGTAATTAGTAAATGTCGTGGGGAAGATACTTTGATGCTATGCAAATATTCTGTTTTTCTTTAACTTTCACCCACTGATTTTTGCATCCATTGGTGGATCTTGCCTGCAATAATTATTACTGTGGTGTTCTAATGGTGATTTTCTATTTTCCTCATTCCTTCATTTATTTATTGGAATTCTTCTATAAAGAGCTATCTGTTCACTCATATTTATTTATTTTCGTAGCCAGTATCAGTATGGATTCATGGCTATTTATTTTATTCTGTGGATTATAATACAATACTATAGTTATTTAGTTTTTTCCAGCTTTGGCATTGAGAACTCTTTCAAGTTGACCTTTGTGCCCTTTCAAAATGCTTACTTTTTTGAGCATTTGTACTACAGGAGGCTCCAGGCCCATTTTGTGTTTTCCCTGAAGCCCTAGAATCAACTGCTTCTCCAAGGAGCCCACATTCCTTTTATTGGAGAATAATATTTAGAAACCAAGATCTGGGTACTAGATGTGCTCATTATTACTAGGATGTCATTACTTCTAGGTCCTCTTAGTGGACAGTTTGAAGATATATGTATGTATACTAACCTTTGCACCTGTATCTGTCTATCTGCATGTATAGTAGAAAACCACACGTACATACTGACACCTCTGCCTCCAGTCCAGTACCACAGCATTCATTTTACCCCTTCCCTTTTCCTTTGTCACTTTGTTCTCCAACAGTGAGAAACTAGCTTCTCATTATCTACAGTATTTTTACTTATTTCTTCAACTATAATATAGACAAAGTAATTTCAGGATTGCTAACCTGTACCCCTATGAGAAACAAATTTACTAACTA